TATTAGCTAATGGTGCTTGTGTTAATCAAAAATTAACATATAGTACTTGTTATTGTAGATTGTGGTATGGGAAGACTTACCTTGACACAAGAAGAGAATTTAATACCACAGGTAACCCTTTTAGTAACAAAAGGGTTGAGGTAACTAGATAATTTGCATTATTTATTACCTTGTATAAGTTATTTTCAAGTTATTTTTCTATGATTTGTTGAGTATATATGTATAAATTCTTTAAAGGTTAACTATTTTAGAAAAAATAGAGTATTGGTTTGTGAAATTCTATATTTTTAAAGTAAATGAAAAGATTTTGTTATACTTGTTTGAAAAGTTATTTATGCATGGTCAAGTGGAGATATGTAGTGAAATGTGAAATATTAGAGGGTGGGAGGTCACCCTAGTAGAGATAGTGAAGATTAAGTCCATATGGCGTTGCTGGCACCTTAGAACGTCAGGTGCAGTACTTACTCTCCTTAGTGCCTAAAAATGGGTGCGGTGTTGAAGACTCACTCTCCTTAGTACCCAAAAGAGTACGGAGTTGGAGGTAACATCCGTAGGATGCGGTGTTGGAGTAACGACACCCCAATTATTTGTAATAGGAGGAAACAGTAGTCTGGAAGTGGTTTAGGACACCTTGGTCGAGTAGTTCTACCATGAATAGTGAGCTTGGGAACCATATATGTGGTTTGGTTATATGAAATAGCCTACTGGTTCGGTCGAGAGTATTGGAGGACCAGATGGTTAGGGATCATGCATGCAAATTTATGGTGATATTATATGATGTGATTATGTTACTTATTTTAATACTTGTTTATAACTTGGCTTATTAATCAATAATGTAGATTATCTTAATTACTGAGATTTTTATCTTACCTCGTGGATTGTCATTTTACAGGTGCTATCAGTGAGACTGAGCCAGGGAGGGAATTGGGTAGGGGCTAGCATATTTGCTACACTCTTTGTAAAGCCTGATTTTGGTTTGAGTGGTGTACATAAACTTGTTATATGATATTATATATTGCCAACTAGAAATGCATATCATTTTGATTGGTTGTACTTGTTTCATACTATGTTGTTGTGTATTTTAGCCCAATATTATATATATAGTGAATATGTGGTAATTTTTGTAGTAATGGGCTAAAATGCTAATACAAGTGTAAGGAATGTTTTATCTATGTGGTGACAATATATTTGTGGTGTATTATGTGGTAATAGAGGCCAAATAGCATATATGATGTTGATTTGGTATTTTGGCTATATTAGGCAAAATGGCCATTGAGTGGCTAAATTTTGTATTTGATATGTTTTTGTATGTTTGATTGATCATTCAAGTGTATTTTGGTCCATTGAATTTGGTTCAAGCCTCATAATGGATTAATGGTATTAGTTATAAGTTTTAGGTATTTGAATAGTTGAAAATTTCTTTAAAAATTGACTTTTGCATTTGAATGTCTAAAATTCTCATACGGTGTCAAATCAAGACGAAACTTATACTATTAGTTAGCTTATTGAATAAGCTTCGTGTGGGTACTTGAATCACTCCAATCGGACATCGGATGTGAAAATGGGGCGCGTTTGAAGTTCGTTTAGAAAAGTTGTTATTGCTGTCATGGATAGATGCACTGTAGCACATTTCGCGCAAGTCACAGCGTACGGTACAGCAAGAAAATTTGGCATTTTGTACCACATGCCATAGCGCATGGACCACGAGCCACGACGCATGAACCAAAACACTCAAAAATGACATTTTTGGCCCTGTTTTGAAGTGGTTTTCTTCCCAAAACTTTTTCATGCTTCCAATACCTATATAAATTATTAAGTTTGAGCTTAAACTATCAATTTAAAGGGTTTTTATGGGATCCCAATTATTCCACAATTATTTTTAAAAGATTATTAATTTAAACCTTTATATGGATAATGTGAGCTTAGGAGCAAGTTATGATTGTTTGTTGTGATTGTGTAGTGAATTTTGATAATGTCAAGGTGGACATTACATTTTATTTTTTAAAATAAAAATATAATGCTAAATAAAATTTTTATCTCAGTTTTATATGTAAGCATACATTTAAACATCAATTCTACCTTCATTCCACTTTTATTACCATTTTCACTTTCACTTGCACCTAAATCATTTTCAGAGGCATAATAAGGTTGTGCATTGGGGCAATGGTGAGAGCATATGTCTCTTACACTCAAAAATAGCTAAATTAATAATATATAGTACTAGTGGCAACCTAAGTTATTTTTCACTAAGAAGGCTAACTGAGGTTAATTAAGGCTAAACTAGTGAGCTAAACTAACTAAGAGTTGATAGATTTTAGCTAATTAAACTAAGTGGATAGATTTAATTAAAAAAATCTAATTAACCAGTGAAATGAAAATGGGAGTGTTTAAATCCTTTTAAAGTGGAGTTCTAAGAGTTGTGGGATGCTAAATTCCTTGTATACTCTTTCTAATTAGGCTTAAGTTAATTTCCATTCTCTTGATCAAATTAAACTCTTACAAAATTTTGTATAAGTATGCTTTCCTAACCAGTTCAATTAACCAAGTCCTTGCACAATTGTGTACAAGTCCCTAATCAATTTCTTAGTTAAGTGCAAAGTAGTCAAAATTCTCCTTATGTTCCCTTTATGTGCAGCTTGACCTATGGTAAGTCTAATGCATAATTTTACACGCAAAATATTTTATCAAACACCAACAAAACATATTTATTTATAGCTAATGTAAGACACGTTTAACACACATAAAACATATATTTTATATGAATTACAATGTATTGGAGAAAATTTTCAACAACTACACAAAAGGAAATTAAGTGAAAAAATACTAAACCAACAAGTTAAATACCAATTTTGGTAAATAAAAACAAGATATAATAATACTTCTAATTTTAAGAACAAGATTATATCAATTTTGGTTTAATGGAGAGTGGCCATAACCCTTAACCTTCCTCGATTCACTTCAAGACTCTTTTAACATCATTGTAAGTTTAGCCTCTAATCATCTTAGAACTCATTTGAGTACAATCCTTCCGCCATGGTTGAATCATACTCATGAACACCTTGAGGATTTTGAAGCCAAACCAAGAAAATGAAATGTAGGGTTTAAAGAGTGAGGTGGAAGAAGGATGGTGAAGTTGGATTATAATTTTGATGGTTAGATCATGAAATACGGAGGAGAGAATGTGAGATGGAGATAAAGAACATGAATAACAATGGAGAGAGAATGGAGAAGGGTGGAGGCTAAAAAATGAGAGTGAATGAAAGAATAAATGCTGAAAATAAAATTAGAGTAGTTTGATTCAAGTCTAGAGTAAATGAGCCCTGTTCTAGTATTAAGATAGTGAATGGAAAATGAGATAGGGTAGCTTTATTATTTACCATAGTAAAATAGATGAAAATTCAAATAAAAATGGTCTGAAAATTGAATTAGATAAAGCTCAAGGTAATGAGAAATTAAGAGAAAGAGAGCGAGTGGATTCAAAGTATGGTACAATGTATGCAAGATCATGCAAGACTTGTACTTTCACTTTAAAACTCAAGTGTTTTGCCTCTTGACTCATTTATTATCCCAATCCAATGGTCCTCGTGTGTCAAATCCAAGGTGTGTGACCTATATAAATAAATGTGACATACAAGATCAAAGTTCAAAGCATATAAATAATAATTACATTTCCAATTAAAATTAATCTCCAAATATGTGACATAATGCAATTAAATAATAAAAGCTAATTATGACATTATAAAAGAGCCCTTGAGGTGTTCCAAATAGCCTAAAAATTGTAAGCCCACACATGCACAAAAATAACCTAATCTAAGTATAAGAAAACAAGTCAACTCAAAACTTTGATTTTCCAAAATTGTTAATTTGTGAAATTAATTACGCTCAATCTAAAAATAATTTAAAAATCTAATTAGACCATTGTTTTTTTGGACTAAAAATACTTCTTGACTAATTTTTTCAAAATTTTAATTTCATGACCAAAAAGCCCCTAATGCACATAATCTTATACTTAGATGATTTCTCACAATTAATGCAATAAATGTGCAATTCGAGTAAATATAATATAATTTTTGGTTAATAATAATAATAAAAAGCATGTAATAAATGTGAGTTATCAAATGGCTTTAAAGTTTTGATTCTGGGGGAAAAAAAGAAAAGTATGATACAAGCGCCAGACAACGCATGAGCCCATCACAAATAAATTGTGAAATAACCTTATAGCCTTATTTGGTATGTGGTATTGGGGCTGGAATTGAGACTGGGTTTAGGTGATACCACTTTTGACATGTTTGGCATGAAGTATTTGACAATCCTTAGGACTACTCAGTACTACTTAACTGGAAATACTCAAACCTACCACTCCCGGTATTGCAAAATCTATTTTGGAATTGAATTTTTTTAATTGGAATACCATTGTAAAAATGTCCAGATTTCATCCTTTTGTCAAAGGCCTCCAATACTCTACCTTCCTTTTTTGCCGTCAAAGACCTTCGACCATCCACCTTGCTTCTCCTCCATCAACAACACTTCATTATTTTGAGAAGAACTCTCATCACCATCATGGCCGCGAAGCATTCTTCTCCATTTTCTTTGTCGATCTCATCACATGTGCTTATCTCTATCCTTGCATGGCATTGCAAACCTTCATCTTTAGAGTAGATAGTGATGGAGATAGACGGGTAGAGAGCGAGAGTGATCACGTAGTGTTCGTAGTAGTAGAGGAATAAGGTCAAAATGAAAGTAACAGAGGAAAACAAAAACCACACAACAACAATATCAGAGAAAAAACTAGCCAACACCATTTCGATCGTGGTTTGCTATACCTCGTGTAGTAGAGAAGATGGGTTTAGGATTACAATTTTATTATACAGGCTATTACAATCTTTTTATATTTTATATTTAATTATAAAATAAAACAAAAAAATATTTTTTAAAATTATTACAACATAACAAACATAATTTTAAAATCTCGTTCGCAATCTCAATTCCAATGACAATGCTCGGCGTGCGTACGAAACATGGCCTATAAATCGCGGGAGCGCCGTCGTTAACGAAGCTCTCACACCCAATCATATCTTTGGCACCACTTCCCCTCAATCTCAAAACTGTTAGATAATTACAGTGCAATTCCTCCGACCACTCTTGCACACCAAAGCCCCGTTAAGCTTCCTCCTCCTTCCATTCCTCAGATTTGTTATCGCTTTCTTCCGTCAACACTCATTGTCTTCGCCCTAAAAAGGTTTCAATTTTAGGGTTTCGAGTATGATAATTTTGAGAAACTAGGGATTTCCCCTAGACGCGACGAGTGGAGACGGGGAGCAGCGTTGGTTCTTTCGTTTCAATGGAGACCACAGCCGGTGTTGCTGCTGCCACCACCGCTCGCGGGGCTTCTCTGCAGATGCCGCCTTCGTCCCGTAAAGAGTGGCGGGCCATTGGGGACCAGCATTCAGCGCGAAACCCGGGAGACGAGGTAGTATTTGGTGGGAAAATAATTTGCATTGTCTCACCTTTGTGGTTCTGGCAGTGTTAGTCAGATGAAAATGCTTGTTATGAAATTTGGAGCTTCATCATCGATAGATATCGAGAAAAGGATGACATTTTGTTTCTTCTCTTGTGCTTGCCTTCTGGGTTTTATAGATTTTCTTATTGGCCAAATTGGCGTTAGGGTTTAACATTACTTGTTCGTGCGTTCCTTCGTATCGGTGGTTCCTCGTTTTAAGCATAACTTGTTCGCACTTTTTAATGGTGTTGAGCTTTAGGATAGCATATGCCACGTCTCGGGCTTAGGTTGGTAATGTGGCCACTTGCTTTGCCTATTACACTCTGGGGATTTGCAGATTTAAGCAAAATATCTTAGTTCGACTGACTTTAGTTGTTTATCCTGTTCGGTTGTGTTTTACAAGGAAGCTCAAAAGAGTATTCAATTGTCAGTTCTTGTTCTCACAGTTTTCTTTCTCTTGAGGTAGTTTTAATATTTTAATGCTTGGTTCTGGGAAACCTAAGTCTGGCTTTCGGGTAATCTCTGATTTAATGTTAATTTGGTTCACAATGACAAATGAAAAAAAAAAAAAAAAACTTGACAATCAGTTTGACATTTTTAAATCAGAGCAGTAGATGATAACAAACTGAACGCAGGGTGTGTGAGGAACATTGTCTACTTCCTTATCATCCGAATTTAGTTGGTGAAGTTCATTTTTGAGTGGAAAGCTTTGCAGATTGAGGGAGCATAATGTTCAGGCTCTGAACTCTGTGTTTTATGTTGTTGAGATTTTAGTTTCTTAGGTTCGATTGCTTTCAATTTTTCAGTAAATATGTTTTTATCTGGTTGAAGAGGGAGTTTCATCACTTTTGCTGTTCTGTTATTTGTTTGATTGTGAACTCGGTATCTGCTGATGCCTGATGTGCAGGAATTATCACAACCAAAGATAGGGCAATCAGATGAGAGAACCATATTTGAGGTAAGGATGGTGTTGGTAAAAGCTTCTTTTAGTATTGGGGATCCAGGAATGTGAAGATGATTTCCCGTTTTTCAAGGTGCAGCAAGGGAGAGAGCCTCTTGATGTTGATTTTTGTTCAATAACAGTGGATGGAGCACTAGACAGTGATATCATGCAGCAACGAATTCTCAACGTTGCTAGACAAAGAGAGGAGCTGGGGCGTGTGGAGATTGAGTTGAGAGCTCAGATGATTGCAAGAACTGGGATAATGGAAATGCAAAGCAGCTTTGATGCTCAACTCAAGGAGCAGGCTAACACTACCAGCAAGCTTCAGGTATATATTCTATAATTTATTTGCACTCCAAAGTATTTATTGCTCTGTTCAGTCAAATAAAATGATTTATAGAATTTACACCTAGAAAAAAGAACATGCTTGAATTGAGTTACATGTTTGAATTTTATGTAATTTTGAGGCTGTTCTAATTTATTGATTTGGTTTGGAGGAGCAACTTCTTGACAGAGAGCGCAGAATACATGAGCTGGAAGGGAAAATGGAAGAGAAAGACAGAGAGCTGCATGCTATTAAATTAGAAAATGAAGCGGTTTGTCAAATGCCCTTTCTTTGTCACAGAGTTGTTGACATGTTATTCTAATTTCTTTTTCTATTCTATCAGGCTTGGGCTAAACAGGACCTTCTACGTGAACAAAACAAAGAGCTTGCAACTTTCAGGTTCTTATTTATTTACACAGTAAATGAATATGCGTATTCTCATACGGACATGCATTTTGTTAATGCATTCATTTAGCTTGAGAAAAAGCAGTTTTCATGTACTACATTGTTGCCCAAGCCCCCAAGAAAATTTTGTAACATGGTATGTTTGCTTGGCTTTGCATCCAAACTTTTGAGCATGGCTAAATGGGTAAAGCTTTTTGCAGAAGGGAGCACGATCATTCTGAAGCTGAAAGAGCTCAGCATGTTAAACAAATACACGACCTTCAAGAGCATATCCAAGAAAAAGAGAGACAGCTTATTGAGTTGCAGGAACAAGTATGTTTGCTTGACTGTGTTTTTTTGGTGGAAATGTTTGCTTAACTTTTGTATTTGACTTTTTCCTTTCATTCTGCTCATTAAACATTTGATTCATGAACTATTCTGTCTGGACATTGACTTCATTCAGATATATTTATCTAATATACTATTGTTATTTTGGTTATTGGAAGTTTTTTAACTATGCTATTTGTATTAGCTGTTTTTTTTTTTCCCAACCTCATTTAGTGGCATAAGATGGCTTCTTGTCCCCATCAAAAAAAAGTTTACAAATTTTACAGTTTTTAGGAGTTGGATGGGCTAATGATGATTGTCTTTCAGCATAGGGTTGCTCAGGAGACGGTTATGTATAAAGATGAGCAGTTGAGAGAGGCCCAGGCTTGGATTGCCAGCGTCCGTGAGGTGGATGTTTTCCAGTCAACAACAAACCAGACATTGCAAGCAGAACTGCGAGAACGTACAGAGCAGTATAACCAACTCTGGATGGCTTTCCAAAGACAGGTTGACTTTCTATTCCCCCTTTTCCCTGTTGATTCATTTTTTTTTATATTTCTTTTGTATTCACCTGAGTTTTTTATTGATTTTTTTTCTTTTGTCTCAGTTGCTTGCTGGTAACATATGTGAATTTACTAAGTATATGGTTTAGGTTTGATGATTCACTTCATGTATTTAAGCAAGACTACAACTCATGATGATGTTAGTCTTTTGTGCTGTTTTATTGACAGTAAAATACATTTTTCTTTTGTTCATGAGTTATATGAGCCCGTCTTTTGAACCATTATTAGCATTGCATTTATTTATTTCAGTGTTGTCAATGATAACTTCCATGGCATAATGACGTGGCAACCTAGAGGCCATCTGCCTTCCATAAGACTTCCAAGGAGGGGCAGACTCTGGCAGTGCAATGGTGCTTGTCATGTGATGCACTCTCTCTCATCAATCCCCATTTTTTCCCCACTTCAGTCTAATGGCTTGTAATCATTGTAGGTAAATTTGTCTCTTGGTGCACTTTGACAAAAGTGATCAGTGAATTAAATGGAAATCCATGACTTGCACAATATCTGAGGCAGAGCACTTGAACTCCCGCTCTCTCAAATCATCTTAGATCCAGTACACATTCTCAGTTTTCTTAATATTTTCTTTCATTTTGTTTTACTTGTTTTGCAGACCTCTGTTCTTTCCTCCTCCCTCTTTACCAAGGCTTCCTTCCTTTTCAGTGTTTACCAAAGTTATGCAATGTATATTGTTTATTGTGCTTGCCCTTTGTATGTGTTTAATTAGTTTTCTTCTTTCTTTTAAAATGCCCACCTTATCCTCAACGTGGCAGTTTTGGGGCTTTCCACTATTGGCTGCTATGTGCATTTGACTACCCTTTTTCTTATTTTCTTATTTTTTGTTTCAATATTAGACAGTAGTTGGTGGTGCTTCACCCTTTTTACCTTCCTTTGGATTGATGTTAGTTTGCAGAAATGGAGAGAGTTCATTTGCATGCTGTACATCAACTTCAACTTGAGCTGGCTGATGCAAGAGAGAGGAGTGGAGCTTACAATGATGACTCAAGAATGTCCCAAACGAGTTCAAAACAGAATGCATCTCAGTTTGGGCAGGATAATGGAAACCAATTTGATGCAAATGGAAGCAGCAGCTCAGGTGGAAACAATGGTCTCCTTCCAAACGAGAATTCAGATAATGGTCTACCTTTAGCATCTTCTGGCAATGCATCAATCCAGGTCCGGCGCTCTAATTATTCATTAGTTTTACAGATGAACAGCTAGTTACTTATTTTCAGAATGTCATTTTTTTGCCAATATTTGCAGAATGTCATCTCGAAAGGCATTCTATACTTACATTTTTATGAGGGGGATGTGCGTTGAACTCTTGAATCTTGATAGCTTTTGAGTGACTGTTACGCAGAATGTCACTTGAGGATCTTCCCAGCTTTTGATAATTTATTTCTGTGCTGGTTAAATGCTTTACTAGGACGTGTGATATTTTTATGCACATTCTTACATATTATTGATAGAGTCTGCTGTATTTTAGTTTTCAGATGATCTAATGGTTATACACGGTATGACTTAGTTATGTACTCCCTCTGTTTTTCAAACAATAGTTACTTGGATTTTGCACGTAGGATAAGAAAGTTAATAAATAACTCTAATTCTTACAATGAGTTTTTTACTAAAATACCCTTATTTATTATGTTTTAGTAGTTAACGCCTCTCTCTTCATTAAATTGAAGGGTAAAATGGTAGAAAAACTTAATCAATGCTTCATTAAAATTCTAAACTGACAATTGTATGAAAAAAATCAAAACCCCAAATGACAACTGTTCGGAAAATGGAGGGAGTACCTTTTCGTTTATTTTATTGTGATACCCAAATTATTTTCAGCCTGGGGGGTTTAAAATCTTGACTTCATTTTGCTTTTCTAGAATGAACATGTTCCTAGTATTCCTATTGCTCCGTCATCTCTGCTTGGGATGCCTCCATGTATCCCACCTAGTCAGGTCACGGCAATGCATCCATTTTTTGTGCATCAACAAGCTGCCCCCCATTCAGTTGCATCACATGTACCTCAATCACAGGTTGGACATTTTCACTCAGTACCAGCAATATTACCTCCGCAACAGTGGCAGAACCAACAGGTATTGAAAGAAATTATTTATTATTAATTTTCTTGGAAATACATGGTGAGAAGTTTACTTCTTTTCTCCAGGCCATCTCAGAGAGTTCGCAGGTGCCTGTGAAGGATGATCATTCATCATCCCAAACTGATCAAAATTTGATGAGATCGGATGCTAAGTTTAATTATGAAATGTCTGTTAATGGGCAAGCTCTTAGCATGGACTATTTGGATGTTCGCATTGGTCAAGGGGAGGAGTCTCAAACTCTTACTACATCATCTGCTGTGTTAACACAGGTGTTAGTTTTGGATTTTGTCATTCATGGTGATCAGGTTATCCCTTTGATTTTGCATGTGACTGCCGTTGCTAAGCTTAAATTTATTTATGGTTGTTAAGTCTGTTGATAAAGGACGACTAGAAGCTTCCCAACCAGATCAAAGCCTACAACAAATTTCATCCCACTTTCACGATGTCTTAAGATTGAATACTAATGATCAGAACAGTGAAACTAAGGTTTGTTGCAACCTCTTGCTCATGTGATTCCCTTTTTCTTAATTATCATTATTATTAAACAAAAACTGGGTGTGGGTCTATCTTGTTGATGAGGCTAAGTCATAGAAGCTAAAGATGGAATTTACCATAAGTAAACATCTGCATCGGTTTCCATTATCTTGTGAAAATGTTTAGGTTGTTTGATGTTTGAACCAAAGATTCTACACCTCAGCCTGCAGCAGCCTTTTAAAATAGTAGCCTCTAACCTTTGTGGAATATAGTTTTCTTAATGTAGACCAAAAAGCATCAACTGAAAGTGACTGACAAAAGGTGGCCAAAAGAAAAGAAGGGAAAAGGAAAAAAAGGAAAAGAGAGAGAAGAAAGTGACTGACAAAAATGTGTTGCAAAATTAACATTAGTCTGACTGCTGTTACCGTTTAGATGATGAAGCTAGTGTTGTTTGTTAATAAGGATGATAATATATGGTGAATTTTCTTAATGTACAGCAAAAAATGTCAACTGAATAAGTGGCTGGCAAAGCATGGCCGAAAAAAAAAAAAAAGGAAAAAAAAAAAGGGAAAGAAAAAAGAAAGTTTGTGAAAAACATGGATTGCAAATTTAACATTAGTCTGACTGCTGTTATTGCTTTGATGATACAGGTAGTGTTGTTTGCTGAACAGGATGAGAATGTTACAACTTCAGCAAGTCATGGAGCAGAGGACCAAGTTTTGGTCACAGAGCAATCAAGCTCGGCTGCAAATGCATCATCTCACCAAATCCATTCAGTTAATCATAGTGTAATGACAGAAAGTTCTGCTGATTCCGTCTTGTCTGAAGCATCTGCCTCCACTGGGCATATGAATTTAACAGTTGCTAGGACTTTAGAGGCTGCTCTCCTTGATGAAAGGGCATTATTGGCGTGCATTGTTCGAACTATTCCAGCTGGTGGCAGAATTCGGATCAGTTCAACGGTTAGCAAGTTAATTTTGAACTCACAGATTCTATGCAAAATATGACTTGTGCGTCCAATCTGATTCAGTTGATATGCAATATGTTTTGAAAACAGCTTCCCAATAGACTTGGCAAGATGCTTGCACCCCTACGCTGGCATGATTATAAGAAGAAGTATGGAAGACTTGATGATTTTGTGGCCAATCATCCTCAAGTGAGTTTTACCTCTCAAGTTATAAGTTTGGGTGTACAAGCATCTGTAATTTATTTGCTGTACAAACTCATAGTGCTGTTCTTTTATTTCAGTTGTTTATGATTGAGGGTGACTACATTCAACTTCGTGAAGGAGCACAAAAAATGGTAGCAGCTACTGCAGCTGTTGCCAAAGTTGCCGCAGCAGCTGCAGCTTCACCTCCTTATTCTTCTTATTTGCCCACCGTTGCTGTTACACCAATGGCTCAATCTCATCGCCTAAAGAAAGTTCCTTCTATCGATTCCAGAAATGTTAAAACTGACAATACAGTCAAGGAATATGTAGTCATCTCTCAGACTACGACTAATGATCCCCTAAAGCTACCTGCAATGCAGCAGCCTCAGCAGCCAAATGGCATGTGCTTCAGTGTTACTGGAGGCCTCTCAAATGTCAAAATTTTGAGTAAATCTAAGGATTCCCACGAAAGTAGGCCTGTGCAGTCTTCTGTACATTTAACTGTTGGCATTGGGGTTAACCTGGACAGATCAAGTATGAGCAGTACCCAAAATATAGGCTCAGCCAATGGGAGGCTAGCTTCAAGCTTTTCCGGGAAACAGCAGACCAGGTATGATTCTATACTGGCTCTTGTATAATGGTATCTGTCTTGTGGTATCACGTTTATTTTCAAGACAAAAGATACTTCAATAGAAAATTTTGCTGACTGTTTTTGTCAGGGCAACTGCCGCTGCATATCCTTCTCAAAGATAGTGACTCTTCTACTTTGGATCTTTTGAAACACGTCGTTTATTTTCTATGATAGCATGCCTAAACCCGTTTATCAGCGCATTAAGATAACATTTTTCTATCAGAGATCATTGTTAAAACATATAGTCCTTGTGGTAAGCTGTGTATTTTTAGCGCTCACAACTTTATATTTTGTCCAATATAAACAAATGTATCATTTTCAAGCTTTAAAATATAATAAAAAAGGTACAGTTATGTTTAGCAAGAAATGTTTGCATGCAAATGTGATCTTACATGGTATTCCCGATTCTAATTCGCTGCACCCATCTGATCAACTCTGAACTGTCTTGATATTGAATTTCCTTCATAACATCTTGAGCTTTATTTCGGCAGGAAACGTGGAGATTCATATCTATGACAATCCTTGAGGAGCCGATTTTGTGACGTTTATAGAATTTGTGGGAGAATGCTTCGTAAGAATTGAAAAGCAATGTATTGCGTGCTGCGCAATTGTGATTTAAATTGTCAGTGTAGCCCCCCCTTTGGGATAAATTATTATTTTTTATTTTTATTTTGGCGTGCTCTTATCATTACGTAGCGGTCAATGCTCGATCTCGATCACCTGCACTTGCACTGTGCTCTCCAGCATACCCGCAATTGCATTTGAGAGGTTGTGAATGATTAAAACTTAAAAAGATCAATCAATAGTCAGCTTTTTAGAAATGTTCTGGCTATTGCTCTCAGGTTTGGTGTTTGCGAGGCCGTCTAAGGGATTGTGTACGCGATGCAAGGAGTAATTGATTTGAACTAAGCAGAAAAATTCAGGCCTGAAAAAAATAAAACTATACAGAAAAATAAGTCGGGGATGAGATTTAAGCTCTTTGATTTTGTTCGTAGTTCTCATTTTTTTCAGAAGTTTTTTAATATAAACTAGAGAAAATTTCGTCTGATTGTGTTAATGTGGAAACAGCCAGATTAAAAATTTATTTATAACAGTCGTTTTGAAAATTGACTATGGCATCTAGAAGTGGTTAGTTGGGACTCACCAATGATGGGTGATGGTGACCAATCACGAGTATTGGTGGGGATTGGCAATGACTGCAAATGGCAGCTAGCAATGGTGATAGTGGTAGACGGTCATTCATAGGGGTAGGTGGATGAAGTAATACAGATCTGTAATCCTGTGCTGTCGAATTAGATTTAATTATTTATATTTAATAATTTTTAAAAGTATAAATTTAATTTGAACAGTTTAAATTTATAATGGAGTAGTGGGAGCAACGGGCAGAAACTTTCCCCGTGTTGCTAAGGGGTCAGCTTACATATTCTTTCTACAACCACCCGCTTTGCTAAAACCAGTCATTTTTTTGTTTCTTTTCTTTTTTTAACTTCATTTTTTCATCAAAGGCCAAGCTACGCTCATGCTGAAGCTAAAATTCTCTCTCGTTCTATCTCTGTACGATTCCGTCATCTGAGGTTTGGCGATGAAGTGGAGATGTTGCCATGGAGAAAAGGGACATATGCTTCTATCTTCAACCTTGACGTCCTCTCCAAAAGCAGACTTCACAAAAAGAATGTCGATCATTCTTATGTCTTCAACCTAGATTGAGTAGATTCTGAAATTGAATTCCATTGTCGAACCAAACCTACTCGTCAATGAAAAGCCTGGATAGATAATTTGTTTCTACCTTCAACACTTTACTTCCTCTATGAAATTAAATTCCCTCTTTGATTCTTCAAGCTTGTTTGAATGTAGTAAGTCATGAAAGAAATTTGAATTCGGTCATGATAGTGTTAGGATAGTTAGGGTTCGTTTTATTTTTACGTGGTTGTTGCTGGTATAAATATAACATCTCAAAATACCAATATCAGAGCATATGTATAGCTTTAGTTTCCTTTTACATGCCATGTGAAGCAGATGTTGATGATTGTTGCTAATCTAAAGTTTATGGCCGAAGCATTATGGTGACTTTCACATCATCTACCAAGAGATGTTTTAGAATTTGCGAGAGTGGAGGTGGAGCGCAAGATGAGTTCGGAAGGGGGGAAAAAATTGAACAATGGACGGCCAGACATCATAAAACGGCATAGTTCGAGTAAATAGTAACGGGGAAGGGATTTGCACTTTGATGAAAAACATGAAGAATAACAAAACAAAAAAGAAAACGACATTGTTTCAGCTAAATGGGGAGTCAGTGGAGGGAAGGTTTAATGGCGAGGAGCTAAGGGCAAGAGTAGCTTCTAATGGCTAAATATAACATTTAAAAAAATAATTTGAAGATATTTGTATTTTCTTGATTTTTAAAAACAGAAAGTGATAATTTTAAAAACATTTGAATTTACCCTTATTTGCATGCTTTGCTAATAGTATATTTATTTGATTTATGAAGTTGCAAGTTCAACAAAATTCTAATTAGCGTGCGATTGAGAATTTTGAAGGCTTGTTTCCCCTTACAAAACAAGGTGGGGGTGTTTGGGTGGGAGGTAGGTTTTCTAAATAAGGAAATTTAAAAGTTATGCCAATTGCAGTAATAAAAATTGATCCAATTAATAAGGATTTAACTCCTAACTCACAAGTTGTTCATGTGAGGATTTTGTTGGTGGATAGTCTATAAAGATTTCTAAATTTGAAGGCATGTCTTGATTTTATAGTGAGCTCTTGAGATTCATCTCACTTAAATTTTTATAGTTGTTAAAAAAAAAATATGCCACCTGTTTTTAAAATAATATTTTAATCTCAACACAATTAGATATATATTTTTGAATTTTTTTTATTAAGAGGATTTAAACCTTGATCTTTATTTACACTTTAACCAGAGCTAATTCCAAGTGGCTTGACATAATTAATAATTAAATATTAATATTTTAATTCATTTTTATTTTCCTGTTTTAATGCGACTTAATTTTTAATGTAATTTATCTTTTTTTCTTTTTCATTAAGTCCCTCGAGGATTATTCATGCTTATAAAAAATTTCAGGACTGAACGGGTTCCCAAAAAATATCTTGAGTTAAAATAAAATAAAATGTTAATTTAAATAAATAAACTTGAGCTATTTTTTTTAAATATTAACATTTTACTAAAAAATTATCCAAACGGGCGAACCAAGAAGTTAAATGTCCAGAGATTGTAAACTATACTGATAACTCGTTTTTTCTCAGTGGGAACAAGAAGGCAGCCCAAAAAACAGAAAGTCCTTTTCTTTTCTTTTTTTGGTTACAAAGGCAGAGACCTTACATTCGTCCAAATGAATTCAACGTTGGGTCCCAAACACCACAAATATCATTACGTGCTAGGTCCCACCCACATCACCCGAAACGTTAGCAGCTCGTTCCCGTGATATCATTACTACTAGTCCATTATTAATAAACTCGAGCTTTCATTACCATGAAACGTGACGAATAAATTAGTAGCTCCTACGGAAATGTGGTTATTGCATCAGATAATGATAAATTACCTTAAACCTGAGTTAAGGTAAAAAATCGAAAAATAAAACGGTTGAAAAATCCCATGAATTAGAATTTGTAATTGGTCAGGATGCGTTTTGCAATTCAGTGACAAAGGGAATACTGAAGCACCATTTGTAAGGACTTGTAGATATAAGCCGAATAACACTGGATTGGAATGACCAAAAATATGAAGAAACTGTTGATCACTTGAGTCAGGCTAGCAATCATTTTAACAGTTAAAAGGTCATGTATTTCCATTGTTACGACCAAGCGGTGACTTACCGAGAGACCCACTGGAACTAGCATCTAAGCCATGTTGGTTGATTTCTTGCTTACCTGAGAGATTGATACCAAGTCTAGTTTGGGGGCTCTGGTTACTGCCACTGTTGGCGCCAGGAAACCTATTCACCTGCCCTTGGAGGAGCTGCTGTTGCTGGAAGAATGCTGGCTGCTTAAGTTGCTGCTGCTGATCATTCATCTGGAAAGGCAATTTTGAAGTTGAAAGGTCTGGTTGTTGCAGAGATATTGTGGGATGATGTTGCTGTTGATCTTTCATATCGAAAGGCAACATAGGAACATCTGGTTGTTGCTGAGACATTGCTATGTGAGGTTGCTGGCTGCCTTGCCCTTGTTGCATAACAACCTGGGATGACAGCGGCACAGTTTTCTTGGAAGTGAGCAAAAGTTGCAGTTTGAAATGGATTAGAATTGGGTAAAGTTTTATCATGAAGTTATCCTGTAAGAATATGAGATATTAATAAAATTAAGAGACCTAATTATAATGCTAAGCTCAAGAAACATCTCGTTATCTTGTTTATGTTTGGAAACTTAACAACCTAAAACCTGCATCTAAGTTTTTCTTCATTTATATCAGGGTTGGCTAGAGCATGCACTGGGTGAGTTAAGATTACCTGAGGGAGTACAGGCGCTTGAGGTTGGGCATCAGCAAGTTTGGCAAGAAAAGTCAAGTTCTGCTGAAGCTTGGCTTGATATCTGTGTTAGGTAAATGTTAAGAATCAGTAGAACAGTCTTATAAGAACATAACGGTAGTCTGCATAATAAGATACAGTTAAGTTGTTGATAAGTTGTACTACAAGTAGTTTCTTTAGTCAAAATAATAAAACCGGAAGAAATGTTGATCCAATAAAGAATTATATAATGCCTTTGATTAACTTGACCTTCATCAAAGAGGAAGAGATTATTTGAAACCAGAAATACGTAAACTTCCTGTTTATGCTAGAATATAGAGTGAATATACTCATGCGAATTCCTATGAGTATTTTGATAACTGCCTATTGCAGCCCTCAATTTATGCACTAGAATACAATGAGCAAATGACACAAATAATGTGAAATTTTCGGAGTCAGATTCAGTGCAAGGGTGCTAGAAATGAGTTTATAGAGGAGGAGAGGAAAGAGGGGCAGTTCCTGTTGATATAGTTGTCTAAATTATTCTTCACTTTTTCATTATTTACAATTGTATCGCATAAACGTATATATCTTTTTTCTTTGAAACACGTTTCCTGAGCTTCCATTTCCCAGAGCACCTATGATCTCAGTCAAATAGATCCAAAAAGGAAATGCCAAACAAAGCCGGAGGTACTGAAGGATGATTAACAAAAAGGGTGCACATGATCTACAATTGTGTTCCATGAGCATTTTTTTCTTGATCTCATGATTCCATAACAAGAGGTTATCTCCCATCCAGTTATAATTCAAATTGGTTACAGATGAAGTCCCTTAACATTTTTCACTGTCTAGATCCTGTTTGAACCTCGTTTCACACTAACTTGTTATACAAAGAAGTGTTTGATTGTCCTGTTTTTTAAAAGGCATGCATACTATTAATTTTTAAGCCGAAACTCAAGATTTCATGTGCCAATGATTCTTAAACTGTTCATGGACACCATAAGATCAGTTGTGGATAAAAAGAATAGGAAGTCAATGTCGAGAGCTTCAAAGCAGATTGTCAAAGAGTACTAAATGATTTGCAAGAGAATGCAGCAGAAATGCAAGGTTTCTCTAAACAAATTTAAGCAACAAATGAAAGTGACTCTTGAATGTGGGCACTTACTGGGCAACCTCACCAGACTTTCCCATATTCTGGCCCTCCATTATAGTCAGAATCAGCTGCTTATTTTCCTCCAAATACTGCACCAAGGAGAAAGATTCACCAACGCAATATAAGCAAGAGCCCAGAAAGTCATAATTTAAACTGAAACACATTCATTGCTACTCATCCATCATCCACTCAATGGTCTTGGTCAGAAAGTTCAAAATTTAAAAGTATTCCTAAGATATGTGAATATAAAATTTCTTTAGACACACATTCCATTAACAATGTAGGCCCCTCTTGGGTTATCAAGAAAACACGCACATCGGTAGGATCACTATATGCCAGTAAGAAAACAATTCAAGATTCCCATTGGATGGCTAACTTAAAAAATAAGTTGTCATAAACACTTCGAAATCAATCAATGACTTGACCCTTTAAAAGGACTACCGCAAAGAGAGACGCTATTAAATAGCACGAACTTTTATCATCAAACGTGTTTCTCGCATTCACCTCAATAAAGACGTTAAATTTAGCAGAAGTGAAAAATAAAATTTGATAACTTACGAGTCAAGGAAAGAGAAGAAGTAATGTATACGGCTTTCTCATATCTAAACAAGTAGACAGCGAAAGCCAAAAGCCAGATTTCTAACAACGCCATCACGAACGTTGAAATACTAAATAGATTGACTAAGAAACAATGGATTATGGACAATGAAACAGAAGAATGACTCATGGTAATCGTTGGTACCTTTTGAATTTGCTCGGTCGTGAGGTAAGTGACAGATGCCAAAGAAGAATCAGCGTTGAGCATTTTCGATTACTGATGCTTCTCCACACTGCAAAATCTGGAACCCTAACCCTAGTTCTTCCAGGAAATGAGCGTCAGAGTGATCCTTTCTCAGACCCTCTCCGGCTCTGGCTCTGGCTTCCTGTGGTTGGTAAAATTTGGCTATATATATACTGGGGCTAAATGCAACAAGAATGGTAAGTCCTAAAGTACGGCATTGCATACTGGCCTTTGGCCAGCAAAAACACGGCATGACATTGTAACGCGTATCTATAAATCTATAAATTAATGCTTAATTCTTTTGGCAGTCTCCCACTAAATATGGACATATTTATCAATAAAAATTTAATTATTAATTTATTATGTTACGAGAAATTAATCACTCAGAGATTCCAATAAATAAGATATTACATTATTAAAGCAAATACTTTAATAAAAGTACAATTTGCACAAAAAAGGGGGAAAAAGTAGGAGCCAGGGTTAATTTTAAGGTCGAATTGGGCAATTAATTTGTTGCATACAATGGACATGTGCAAAGTGCAAGCTTATTTTCCTCCAAAAAAGGTGATTACGTTAAGATTTAATGTTTCTTTTTTTGGAAAAAATATAATATTTAATTCCAAAGAATAAGAAAGGGGTACTATTTATGATTTCTAAATAACAAGTTTTGTGATAAGTTTGATAATTTTTAATATCAAAAATAACATTTTTATTTTCATTTTTGTGGACAAATATATTTTTTATTCATTTAAATTCAGGTTAAAATTTGATGGCAAAAAAAGTCAGGTTAATTTTTTAAAAAACAAGATTTAGGCTTTGATAGACACTAATTAAAAGGAGTCCTTTTCCTTATTTATCATATACTTGTAATTGTCACTCATCAACAACAATAATTTCTCTCCCCCCCCCCCTCTACATGCTTGCACGTGCCATTAAAAAATAATAACATTTTATTTTATTTTATTTTCATTCCATTCCTTTTAACCTAACAAACCACCAACTCTGCTAATTTTCTTTGTCTGGTTGTTGTTTTAGTGAAACATTTTTACTTTTTAATATTGATATAAATATAAAAAAATTATATCTATACAAAAAAAATTATTATCAAAATATTTCATAAAATTTATAAAATAATTTTAAATATTAAATATTTTATATTTAAAATTTAATAAAAATATTTATAATTGCTTGTTGTCTAATTATAAATATTTTTTAATTATAAATGTATAAAATTTAAGATTTAAAATATTTTATAAATTTAATGAGATCTGTTAATAATAAAATTAAATGTAATTTTTTTAAATATAATTCTTTTAACATGATTTTTTTATTAATAAATTTTATGTTTTGCTTGACCTTTAAAGGGATATGTTTTGACCTGACCCATGAGAGATGAGCTGTCCGGTCTTTAAAGTAGGAATTAAATATGACAAGAGCCAAATAGTCCAATCCCCGGGGCCCAATATTATCTATAGGCGGGGGGGGGGAGAGAGAGAGAGAGAGTCTAGTACGACGCCGTTTTACTCCAATAACATCCGCGCGAGTTCCATTTGTTTGAGGAGCCGTCGTCGCATACGGGAACAAGAGGTGGACAGCATCAGATTCAGGGGACAACGTCAATGGGGCATGTTGGGCGTATGAGATTCGGGTCCTTCTTGTTACAAGCTCATTTCGCTTTTGCTTTTGCTTTTGAATTTTGGTTAAAATGGGGAGACTTGTTTAGCAATGAAGCTGATTTGATGGTGGTTTTTTTTTTTTCTTAATATTGTTTTGGAAATTATTATAAGCAATTGCAATAGCCTGGCCTTTTAATTTATTCGCTTGATACAGGTGCTGCCATGGCGACCTGCATGTCTTGTGCAATTCAAATATGATCTTTCTCTGCGCCATAAAAAGCCTACCTAAAAGAGATCATCTCTTACATTTCTCCAGTAGTAAATACTTGATATCTTGTCACTCGATTTCCTAATCCTGTTGTCTGTTGAAATATAGCTTCTATAGTCTATACTTCTGTTTTATCGTATAAGTGAGCCTGAAGATTATTTATTTAGACTAGTTAGCGACAGCAACCAAACATTGATGTGATATCAGATCTTTAATTCGGTTTCTAGACTTACCGGCAACTTCTATTAACTGTTGGGATTGTACCTTGGATCGATATAATGATATTGAATAACTGAGAGATAGTCATTATAAGTGGTAGTTACTAGTGGGTGCTTCTTTCCATTAATACAAGTCATAATGTTCAATTGTTTTCAAAGGTCATTTGTCTGCAGACTGGTGCAATTGCAGAAAATATGCCTGTTGAATGTAGGTATGCTGGTCCCATTTATTTTGGCATATCTTTTTCCTTGCTTATCTGAAGATTCAACTTTTGTAGCATCAACAACACCTATTAATGATCTTTGCGTTTTCTTTATTCGGGCCTTGTCTTTCATTTCTGCATTATCATGTGCTAGATTTCATGTTCCTTCAATTGTAAGTGCATGTTTAGTTGTATTTCTCTTTTTCACCTCTGCTTTCTTCATTTCCTCTCGGAATTCTTTAATGCCATGAGATTCCTTGTCTTGACTTGATTATGTGCAAAACAATTTTCTCTCCTTGTTTTACCTGCCACTCTCTAGTCAACAATATCTTGTTGCTTTCTCTAGCGGGTTTATTCTTATTTCTTAAACCATATCCTTTTCACTTAGAGAGACTTTGCTGAACCTGAAGCTTAATTAGTTGCTAGTTGAATGGCAGATTAATGATAAAAGTAAGGCTGGGATGAATGTAGAATCCATCCAGAGGGTAAGAAGAGATGTTACATTTCTGATAGTTAGAGCTATGATTTTTGTTGTAGCTTGGATGGAACAGTGGAAAGGAAGTGGGATATTTTTAATTTTGCCTAATTGTACCTTTGGTTCCTCTAGTTTCGTAAGAATTTCAATTTGGTCTGGTTAATTTAAAAATGGAGAACGTTGCCTTCCTTCTTTTTCAAAACAATCCAATTCCAAATGAAGAATATGCTATTGATTTCTGATGTTATACGTTGATACCACAATGAATGTTTTGCTTTAGCTTGAAAATTAATAAACAAGCGTAGGCAGGTGGAGGCCGTAACTATAATGAGGAATAGTATGAAATTTTTGAATTTTTTGCTCTATTCTGATGAATTTGGTGCTTTACCCTCCATGGTTGGAACTATCTGTATAGTCATTTTCAAATATAGAATATAATATGCTATCGATTTCTTATATTGTCCGTTAATGCAGTGATAAACAAAGCTGACATGAATTCTTAATTATGTAGCTACCTTGAGAACTCATATCAGCTTGGTTCATTACTTAATTAACGTGCAACATCAGAAATCAACAGCATATTCTTTACTGTTCAAAATGAAAGCAAAACAACTGTATTTTATAGTTTCACTTCTGACGCAGCATTTATGGTGCGCATCTAGTTAATAGTTATTGATTCAGATTTTCCATTTGTACAGGAGTCGCATTACTAATGTGATGAGAAAGATGGCAACGATGCCCTATTTATTATTACGTGCCCAGTTCTGTATGGCTGCATGCTGGTAAGGCATGCATATAGAGAACTAATAGGTTGAGAATAAAAGTGTACTCAGTGGCGTGGCACGATTTGAAAGTTAAACTCTGAGAACTAGTGCTGGCTCATGTGAAATATGAAGTCTGCTTCTCGAAACAAAAGTATAGAAAATCTTGAAGTATGTCTATGAATTTCAATTTCTTGGACTATGTATAAACTCTTTTTTGCTGCTTAATATTCACAAAAGATTGTTATTATTATTTTTGTTCGTCACAAATTGTTTGTTATGTTTGAACAATACGATTATCATGTTAGAGGTGTAGAGTTTCAAATATGACTAAAAAGTTCTCAAGTTCTTTTTTCTCAGTTCATGTAAAAATAATAATGTAAATATGATTTGATAGCTAGAATTAGAGTACAAAATTGTAACGATTACAATTATAAAATTAAAGTAACTAAGTCCAAGTGCAGAATGTAAAGTGAATTTAAATTGAAAACCAAGCAATGGGTTTGCTTTGTATGTGTGGAGTGTGTCCCCCTAATTTTGTCAGTTGAATCCCTTCTTATACTCATGCCCCTGAGATCATCATGCCCAAAGAATTAAGAGCCCATGTGCAAAATATTCACTATCATTGGGTATGATCTAGCAAAATTTGAGGCACATTAGATAGCGATTTCACATCCATTAATTGTCTCTCATGCTTAGTCGCTTTGAGTTTTAAAGGTTATGTCCCTTGCTTTAGGATGTGTTCAGCATGCAACCTAATTTGGAAGCGTACTGGGCCTTGGCTTGATAATTGGGCCTCATTTCTCTTTTATTACTTTGGACTTTTGTTAATTGATGCTTCATTTCAAACCCAAACAATTATTTACCCTTGTAAACGAGTTAAGGGTACAGCTACTGGTAAAAGCAACTTCCTTCTATGGTTTTTCACAGATGAAAGCCTTAAGGAGTCACTAGGCAGACGAGTTGCCTTTCTGGAAAACTCAAAGCGAGGTAAAGTCACACCACACGAGGAAGCTATAGAATAGGTGCTTGGACTGAGAATTTGTCGAGGAAAATCTACTGAATTCAGTCACTATGCAGAGTGACGATTAAGTATTGTAATGTTTGGTAGGTTGAAAACTATTTTCTAAAAAAAATGTGAAATCATCTCGCAAAGACCTAGGCCTAAGCCTTCAACTCTGCAAATATTGAAAGTCGAATTGAATGGAATGAGGGAGTAAGATTCGGAGAGAGAGAAGGGAAGGAATGAATGGCCTATCAATCTTTTTGTATTCTTTTCCCAACCACCATAATTTTTAGGAAGACAAATGGTATCCTAGTTTATTAAGTCACAGTTGTGCTTGTCGAAGTATATATACAGAGAGAGAGATCTGCTGCATGAGCAACCCGACTGTGCGTTACATGTGCTCTACAGGCCGCACTCCATCTTTCTTCCCAATGAGCCTATTTTTTTATTTAGAAGACGAGTGGTTCAAAAGGCATGGTTTTCAATATGTCTCTAGATAAGGCCTCTACTAGTCCAGCTAGCTAGTGAGCGGTTCTTTCGGGTGAGAAGCGGGTCAGGCCCATAGGGCGGGCATCTCTCGTAATGCAAGTTGCATTATTCGCCACCACCTGAGAAGCAAAAGATTCGAGAGTCCAGGTTGAAAATACATGCATAGATAGTGGTCTAATGACAAGGGCCGACAACGAAAGCTCGGGACGAAGCTGTATAATGTGGAAGTCTCACGTACGGTTCCCTGAGAAGGGAGTGGCTACCTACTAGAGCTTTGACCAACCACCACCTAAGGCCACCCCTTACTTTACTATTATTATACGGTTATAGGGTTCGAGACAAAGAAAGATCAAGGCAGCATATCGGTTTTTCCTTTATACTTTACTTGGATCTATTTTTATGCTATTAGCTATTCTGTTGATTGTTCTCCAAACAGGGACCACTAATTTACAAATATCATTAACCTCAGAATTTAGTGAGCGACGCCAAATCTTTCTATGGATGTGCGTACTAACACCTTTACTAAACTAAAACTTTTGCGCTGGAGCGCCTTTATTCGTAGTAGGTCACTGCTTGTTGACTAACCTTTTTTTTTTAAAGTCATACCTCAACTTCAAGGAATGTTCCAGCTTAGATGGAAGAGAATGTTTAGGATTCCTAAAGGGGGTAGTTGGCTAATAAAATTCAGAAATGAGAAGGGGGGTATCTGATCTAGTAAAAGAGGCTTAACCGCCTCTCACTAATAGGTCACAGCAGATATGCCACCGATCATATGCCTTAGGTCCCGCTCAGGCTAAGGATTAGAAGGAGGGTTGCTCCTCTGACTATGTACGGCACGCCTTGCGACAATGGTGGCTCCATACGAGAAGAAAAGAAGGAGCAATAGCATGTCTTTTTTCTTAAGAGTGGTAAGAGGAAAAGGAGAGAAAGGAGGGCGCTCGAAATTTTTTTTCTTTTTTTTCCAGCTTTCACTATAAACTCTATAGTTAAAAAATTTTTCCCCTGTTACCCCCTTTATCGTCCAACGCCCTTACCCTGAAGGGTGCCTACTCACTGCCCTCTCCTGTGGAGAGCACTCACCACCCTAAGAGGGCGACTCTTAACTCTTTCTTAACTCTCCTTTAGGAATATTAAGAAGAGGTTTAAGGGGCACTCAGGAGTCATTGTCTATGACTCCCTTCACTTGAGGAGAGTAAGTAAGATATATTTTTTCAAGACAGCTTTGGTGAAAGAAAAATGCTTTTAAGCATATTTCTTTTATAGAGACTTGTCTTACTAACTTGCTCTTATTGACTCAATAACTGACTTTTGATATTACTAAGGAACTCTTAAGAAATCATACGAAAGCTATTACTTCTTCCCGGTGGTGGCCCAGGCTCAGTTAGCAAAGAAAGGGAAAGCAGGCAGTAGTAGGAATCAAGAAAAACCTCTTCTGGCAAAGCCTAATTATTTAGGGCGTAGCAGGAAGATTCCGCGGTTACTTCAACTTCACTTAAAGACTATTACCATTTCTCGGTGCTTCTAAGCCCGACTGCTAATTCATCAATCCTAGCAATGACTTTATCGGCTCAACGATAACAAATAATTCTTTTCTCTATCAAAAAGCTAATCTCTGCCAACTCAACTCTTGTCTCGCCTACTAACTCATTAAAGTAAAAAAAGTTAACTGGGTGATAGAATGCTTTCATGCTTGGAATGACTTCCCGAAGGTAAGGACTTAGTGCTGTGATCCGCTAATTCATCTCTTAATCTAGTATTCTGCAAAGGAGGTTGAACCCATTAAAGATATAGAACCAATCAAGGAAGTATTGGGATATGTTAAATATGCTTTTAAGACCATACAATCAAAGTATTTACCATGGCTTAAGGGTGTCTATACAAAGCCTTCTGGAAAAGGGGCTTTCCTGGGTACTTACCTGGAAATCCACCCCCAATGATAAAGCTCAACTTGGCCTGAGCAAGCCTTGGTCTTCAATATTTCGTAATTTGAAATATGAGATTGCTGCTTTTGCACTTTAAATAAGGTTGATTCATTCATTTAAGGAGTTCGGGTATTCTCTTTAAGAAGAGGATCTTATGGCTTTTAGATAATACTGAGAATACTCGTGCTGCCAATGAGAACTTAACTTTTTATGAGTCAACTCCTGATCATATTCCTTAGGTCTCGCTCGGGCTAAGGATTAGAAGGAGGGTTGCTCCTCCAACTATGTGTGGCATGCCTTGCGACAATGGTGGCTCCATACAGAAAGAAAAGGAGCAATAGCATGTCTTTTTTTTAGGAGTAGGAGGAGGAAGAGGGGAGAAAGGAGGGCGCTCAAAATTTTTTTCTTTTTTTTTTTTCAGCTTTCACTGAAAACACTATAGTTAAAAAATTTCCCCCCATTACCCCTCTTACTGTCTCAACACCCTCCTTTTTTTTTTTTAGGTACGTCAGTCATTTTATTTCTAAAAACAATTTTTTTGTGTACCAAATATGCTGTTAAGTATATCCAATCGATTTGCAAGGCGCATGAACTGACTTGCCGTTTCACCTCAAGAGTGACGATCAGCAGTGCATCCTCATGAGAGTGGAGTTGGTTAGAAGCTGAGTACAAGTAGTGGTCATTACTGTTTTATGATGAAGTGCAAAGCAATGTTATATTGATCGCGATGATGGGTTACAGTAAAATCCTTGATATCATTCCATAGGAAAACATGTATACTTGTGTGTGTAGCACGCCACGCGAGTCGGTGAAGCATTCTTTGTTAATCAGATTCATTGTGCCATATGAGAACAATTTAAGTTTTACTTTTGGTTTCAATTTGTAGCTGATTATACACGAGTTAGTGAGCTGGAGTAAAAGGTGTAATCGAAGCAAATCTGGCAAATACGACGGGGTTAATTGATTGAAAATGTGCAGACTGGTGGCATTTTGGTGGGAGGGGAGAGGGAAATAATAAAAAAACAAAAGAAGGGTAATAATTGGAAAAGGTGGTGGGAGAGATGATAGGGAGAGGAGGCGGAGAAGAGTCAATTCGGGGGCCCGATGGGGAATGGTCCAGAAAGAGAAAGGGAGTAAATACAAAGACCTCTCATCATAGAAGCTGGCCGACAGCTGGCATTGGCCCTCGCCCTGAATTGGAAGGAAAACTACGGTGACAAACCCGAGCACTTTTATAAGTCACTGTTTTTAAGCGATATTTTATTTTGAAAATATAAGTTTGTCGACATATGGTAAAAAAAAAAAAAATTACACAAGATACTTCCTCTCATCCAAAATATAATTAGCTTTTATGAGAAGTTTATAAAATCTTCATTCTCAGAAAAATATTTTTTTCCATTTTACTCGTAATTCCCATAACCAACGTATTTCATGATAAGTGAAGTATACTTATACAAAGATCTAGATCAATAAATAGTCAAATATAAGGAGTAGAATAAAAAAAATTACATATATTAGTTTGGTTATATTTTGAACTAAAATAACTAAGAAAGAATGCTTATATTTTAGACAAAAGAGAATAACTATGTAATGATAGACATTTAAAAAACAAATGCTTATATTTTAGAGCAAAGAGAATAATTATGTTATGATAGACATTTAACAAATAAAGTCTTAAATGGCCAGATTCAACTGTTCCCTTAGAAGTGAAATTTAATTAAAGATAATTTTATAAGTACAAAGTAAATACAAGATTAGACTTGATATTGACATATTAGTTAACAACAATAGTGATATCGCTTATAGTGAATACATTA